AAAGGCTTGTAACAAACTTGTCCCAGAATACAAGATCATCATTGAGTGGGTCATCCCCATCCTTTACTTTTGTGTCCCGTCCAGTGGCTCCATATGGTAATCTCAGGGTATGATAATATTCCCTTACTGATTTATCCCTGTTTTAGAAACAACTCTTATATCGAGACAGTTTGGCTAGATCATGAAAACTGCTATGTCTTCAGCTAACTTCTCTGTCAATTCCTCAAAAGCTTCAGAATCAGGAGAGTGAAGAACAATTCGATGAAAAACAGATCCAAGATCATATGAAGTTAAGAGAAGAGATTTCATTTGTTTCTCATCCAGTCCATTTAGACCACTAATTTGCCTAACCTCCTGCAGATACTCTCTCACATCCTGACTTCTCCTAAAAACTGGGATCTGTATACGAAATCTAGATGCCATATTTAAACCACTTATCCTCAGGAAGTGAGCTTCAAAACAAGGAAAATCAACTAAACTTATCCTACTAACTGCGCCAGTTGTGACGCCTACCCAGCCAACCCATGCGGGTGGCCCATACCATATGTCATTGGAATCTCACTTATGCTGAGGCGTGGTTTAACAAAAGGTCAGTCCCTCTCTATGCCTTACAATATCTATTTAAAATTCTCAAGAGGATCTTTGCAAAAAAAAGGGGGGGAGGCCAACACAATCCCGCAAAAAACCAGGCCAGCACAACCAAGGCCAACAAAATACAAAAACATAAAAATAAATAATATACAGACGAAGAAAGGGCGAGGCAGCAGCGTGCAGGTGGTAGAAAGATCCCAATATCACAGTCCGATCAAAGTGAAGGAAAACGTTGGACGGGTCTCCAGCAGGAACAGTCCCATCCGATGAGGAAAGCCAGCAACGTGCGCCCAACACTCGCCCCATCCGAGCTGCCCAACCTTGACCTCGCAGCACACTTCCTGTCACGTTTCCTCGCTCCTGGCCATGCCGGCACTGCCCGCAGTGTTGCCCTCGCTCCCAGGGAGAAACAACCTCTCAAATACTACATAGGTCTAGAGCAATCACGACCAGTGATGGCGCTTTTTTGACGAGGGGAGCTCTCAGTAAGAATTTTTCTTTCGTTATAAGAGACTTTTTGACGGGCAGATTTCTTCATGTGCTTCATCTTAGCCAACGTGGTAAAGATGATATATGTCGCGTGCCCTTGTACGGTGGAACCTCTAAATCTGCTGAAAAATATGCTGCATCAATGGGCTTCCGATATTTGAAGGCAAGTGGAGTCCATGTCGAAGTGAATTGGCAAGACAAGGACTCCACGAGCAAACTTAGTTTCCGCGAATCTTACCCTGATGAGAGCACATCAAAATTCATTATTTGTGGCGGACATGCTGCAAGATTTCATACAAATATCCTCCAGAAATATACATATATGAAATCTGTGACGAAAAGCTTTTCAGATCTTCATTCCTCGCAGGTTTCCAGGCTGTCTGAATTGAAATGTAAGTGCACAGGTAAGAAGCATAGCAACAAGCCACAATGTGGCTGCTTGACTGAGGCCTTTATACGTTATGCAAGAATTAACTTATTTTCAGCATTAGTATATGGACATGAAACGAAAAATCCTGAAGTTCTTCGTCGCAATTTGCGCGATCTCGCTCTCCATCATGTCAGGGATGAACATGCCTTGGTAGGGGACGGAGACCTACAATCTTGTGAATTCCATCCTGGCGAAGTATGTGGGTGTGGGGAATGCAAAGAGGATGATCCTTCGCGATGAAGGAAACGCGCGTCCTATACATCCTCAATGACTTTGACGTGCCCTCTTCATCTCGCTCTGTACCAGCTCCAATGCCTTCGCAGAGCTGATGAAAGTTTTCAATACATTCATCCAGAACTCGGTAAGGGCCATAGCAACCTTCCAGAAGCGGCACATAACGTTTACATCCGATTCCGCTCAAAATCAGTTCAGCCTGAACGCCTGCATTACTGTGTTTCAGCAAACCTCGCAATTCTGCAAAGTGCCACAAACTTGGCAACTGACCCTCATGGCAGTAATTACTATTGGCTCCAAGAGCTGTACGACAGAATGCACTTACCTGTCACTGAGGATATGAAGTCGCTGAATTAGAACTTGAAGAAGAACTTGAGCAAGTTCTTTCATCTCTCCGTGGCAATATTTATCTTGCTATAGATGAAGTCCTTGTGACCGCAACTGCTGGATCGTAAACAGTCTGCAACAACAAGTACTATGACTATGTGGTACGCAAAATGAAGTATAAGCATTTTATAGTTTTGCTCAAGTGCGTCCACATGCTAAATAGGAGTTTCTCAGACGTAGCGTGGAAAGTATTACATGACTTCTAGTTCATTTTGCCATTTGAGACGGTCTTCTCTATTCTCATTCCTCTGCGAGCACAGTTGCTCTTAGCTATGACAATTTCATTCACTTTATTACGTACCACTAATTGCTTCCTTGTCCGATCATCCGTAGCCATTCCCGTCCGTGCTGTGGTGGACTTATCAGTAATGCAAGTAAATATTTGTTGACATTTATTGAAAGAACCTTTCTCGTAATCGAACTGTTAAATTAGGGGAAATCCTTTTCGGAACATTTTGTCCACATTAATAATTATTCCAAATCGAACCTTGCAATACCATGTTCTTTTTCCCTCAGTGTGGCTCTTCTTAATCATCGTCCTAGTTATTCTCTCGAAATCACATAACAAACTTGATGAATGGAAAACAGCAGGACAATGTAAATAAATTAGTTGCATTCCTTCATAATACTTTATTTTCCATATGTACAGGAGTCCTGGCTTTTAATAATTACCTAATTGGATGCTACCTTTATTTTCAGGCTTCTTGCTGAGGCTTTCTATTTGTTTTATTAGCATTTTGTTACAGGTATGAATACGTGTCCTGCCAGCCCTCATCCTTAGTCCTCGAGGAAAGGTACATTCGTGATATATCAGCCCAAAACATGGAAACGGGGAAAGATCGACATGTGCAGGAAAAAGAAAACTCCTACAACAGAGGCGGTAAACCAAGAGCCTTTGTTCGCCGGCAAGCCTAGATGAACAGCAAGAGAGCAGGAAAGGGCAAAAGGGCGATGCTGGACAATCCGGGATGATTCCCAGGCTTGTTAGAACTTCCCGTTCATCCCGCCCAGGCATACTACTATCACGAAACTCATGACCAAGAATCAAGCGACAAAACTCAAGCAAGTGATGATGGTAGCTACTTTCGGTCTCTTCTCCCTTGAAATGATGTTTCGTACATCTTGACAATAGGATCCAATAACATTTAGTACATTTACTAATAATTTGCCCTTCAGGGAGACGTCCGGCTTTGTGGCTGCAGCTGTTTTGACATGGAAAATATGGACTACCATAAACACCGGGCATTCACCATGAAGGAGGCGATTTCAGATTATTATTAGGTGGAGCGGGGTGGGATCTTTGTTCATGGCTGAATATAAGAAAGTAAGACTAGGCATTGCCGCTCTATAAGCAGGAAAAGTGTATTCATTTATACACCATTTAACGACACTGAACATTTTATTACTGGGCGCGTTGTAGAAAAGTAGAATATTCATCTACAAAATTGATGAACGGACTTCCCTACGCATACGATAGAAGGAAAAGAGCAAGAGAGGGAAGGGGATGAGGGTATGAGGCGGAGGAGAGAAGGGACGTGAAAGCGAGTGTCTGGCACGTCCTGGGAGAGAGGGTGTGAGAAGGGGGAGGGAGTATGTGCGTGATGAGTTCTGTCGTCTGCTCGCCGATTTCTGGGGGGGGGGGGGGGAAGCAATATTCAATGGAGGAAAAGACCCACCACTCCGTAACCCGGGCACTTGGAAAGAAGATTCGGGTCTTCTCTGACTGGGAGATCATTCTCACACGTCATCTGGGAAATCATCTCGGTCTAATATGGGAGGAAGGAGACATGCAGTTGAAAACGTGACCATTTCCTGCAGGATTCTCCGACTTGGCATCAGTCAAATCAATATAAATCAGAAATGTAAGAATATTTTGGCTTATAATTGAGCAGAGCCCTTCATGAAAGTCGTCTCTAAATAGCAGTGCGCAAAAATCGCAGCATCTCTTATTCGTTTCCGAGTAATCCGGGTCCGAAGACCGAATTAACTAAAAAAAAAATCGTGACTTTCGGTGATTTTTCAAATGGCACGCAAAAACTGTCGATAGATTTGAAAGCCACTTTGCATAAAGATGCAACTGGTCATGATACAAAATCGTATGTTTCGTAATCGTATGAAGTAAATTCGTAAGACTTTCGTCCCCATACGTCACGTATTTCAATGGGGACATACTTTAAATTCGTGTTTGCCATTTCGCAAGGAATAGATGAATTATTATATATTGAAGGTAATGGAGCGCTGAAGGCGCGACTATCTAATATATATAGACGATCGTGACTGACTGACTGACGCTAATTCTAACCATGTTCCAGAAAGGATAGAAATCTTGGTACAAATGTACCACCACACGTCTCACCACGGTGGACTGACGCTACGCAATAAAGTGAAAACCTATCAGGCAACACATTTCGATGTGCAAAGACGTGTTGAGCACAGTCAAAACTCCGAGCGAAACCTTATTTTAAAAATAAACACCCAGTCCGGATACTTTTTGAACAGGCCTCGTAGTTGTCTCCGGTCTGACTGACTGACCCTAATTCTAACCATGTTCCAGAAAGGATAGAAATCTTGGTACAAATGTACCTGTTGGAGTGCAGAGTTCAGGAAAAATCCGACTTTGGAGGTATATGCCCTGGGGGTACACATTTTTGTGGGTAGAAGTTTTTTTAAAATATATATCGTGATGGATAAGGATGTCAGAAAGATTCCACTCTATGTCACCGTTTCGGTGGTGTAGTGGTAGCACAACTGACCGGTCATCGTGAGGCCAGGGTTCAATTCCCGGCCATGCCATGCCTGTTTCTTTGGCTTCCCTTCCATGTCCCGTTGCTTGCATAAACCGGAGAGACATGGAAAGCTGAAACGTGACATGGACGTGCCTACCGACACGGTGAGTTCAGGAAAAATGCAAGATTTTAGATCCATTACCTGGGGGCATATTTTTGGGGGGGCCGACGTTTTCAAGTGTTTTTTTTGTCCTGGCGTATTGAGATAGTGTGGAAAGATGAAACTTAGTACATAATTACCTACCGGGATGCTGCCTGCAGAAAAATTCAGAATTTGGAATGAAATGCCCTGGGGGCATAAATTTAGAACAAGTACCTCTGCGCACTTGCACATCTACTGGTGGAGGAAGGAATATTTGAAGAGGTGAGCGACACTTTCAGACATGCTTCTTTTTAAATATATTTCCATGTTTCCAACGGACGTTTTGGAATGCTCTACTTTGAGCTGATTTTGTTTTCCTTTTTAAAGGTGTTATTCAACTTCCACCCAGTTGGACACACTCATGAAGATATTGATCAACTCTTCAGCTCGGTGAACCACTACCTGAGGGTTAGGGATACGTGCACAGTAAATGGTAATTTCATGTTTTTATATTTAGTCTCTGATTTGGTTCAATTCTGAATTTTGCATTCTAATGTATTTATTTCTGCCTTTTTTAAATGACAGATTTGATGACATGCTTGGGAGAGATAAAAAGGAGAGGGAGACCTCAGCATCTTCAGGCTGAGGAATTGGATGTAGTTCACAACTTCAAGGGAGTCATACAGAATCATTTCCCCCGTCACTTTCGCGGTCAGACCAAGCCTCATTCATTCCGGTTCCGGAAATCCAGCGGAATCACACAAATGCACGTTCGAATGCATGCTGGAGAAGCCTGGTGCCCTAATGAGCATGATAATCAATACGTCAGGGAATGTCTTGGCCCAGATCTTGGTTATATCTGTCTACAGGTGAGGATAATGCCATGACGATTGACCAACTTCTTTTGTCATTATTCCTTACAATATACTTTGTTTTCATACTAAAAATTGATTTCAATTTTAGAAGTTCAAGGGGGTTCCTAAAGGCGAACATTGCTTTTGCATTTGGAATGTAGATGGAATATCCCTTCTGAGAGTGTAGCAGGTGCTCATGAAGTGCATCCCAACTAAAAGTACATAAAGCTTTCCCTTACCCTCACTTTTTCTGCTTCATTTCTTTTTCCTCAGACAACACCAGAACTCCATGTCTTCTGTGTTCTGGTACCACCTGATTGGAATTCAGCTGGACTGGAACTTGTGAAGGCGTCCATCCATAGTTACTTTCCAGAGATGTCTGAGGATAAAATTCATGCTTGGCGTGTCTTCTCTCCAGATACCCAGCAATCCATGGTAATGTCAATTGTATGAAGAGTCTTATAATACAAGCAATGTATGGTATTAAAATCGAATGTGTATCGATTTATTCACAGGAACCTAGATTGTATCTTCAGAAGTTAAGAGACCATAAGAACACTTCACCTGAACTCAATCCTAACATCACCCCAGCCATGCAATCCTACCTGACGAACATGAGAAGCCAACTGCTTGGACCATTCCAACAGGTGAGAACATTTTCTCCAGGTTGAAGGCATCAGCCTTGCACCCAAAGGTTGCACAAATAGATCCTCCTTTCAATGCTGAGCTCGAAGCTTAATTTTCTGTATTCCATTCACAGCCTATCATTGGTTCGATTGGGAGTCGGAGACTGGGCATATGTGCCGGGACTGAAGATCTTCACATAGGTATGCTGGCTGTTGTCTATACGGAGGAGAAATCATCCCGACCATGGATAGGAAAGATAGCCTCTATAGACGAGAAGCAAGTGGCCATCCACTGGTACAAGGGAACTTACGAGAAGACATGGAACCCAATGACAGGGGCTGGAAGCATTTCGTCCGTTCCTCGAGAATCTCTCCTCCTGTGGGGCTTCACTCTGACGGACAAGAAACAACTGCTAAGGAGTGAAACAAGAGAAGAAGTAAGGCGGCTCTATCAGGAAACAGATCAAAGAATGCAACGTCATGCAGAGACTTCAGAAGTGAACTAGGGCAAGTGCTTTATATTCATGAAAGCTAATGTGCAAGTATTGCCTTATCCCTAAATATATTAATTCCAATATTAACTTCAGCCAAGTGCACTTGATGCTTCAGCTAAGGCAATACCATTCCTGCCATTTCACACATGGCATTGCAACGATTGTGAAAAATTCCCTGATCTTGCAGGAGTGATTGACTGTATATGCCGTCTCCAAGCAAACCATCACCTGGCCTTGGCATGGTATTCCTCATCAATGCAGCGAGAATTTTCACCGAAATGCTCAAGACTTCAGAGTTCAAGATACGTGAACGAAATTAAAGCTTTTGTTTCTTCCTAACTGTAGGGGATAGGGAATGTAGAGAGTTCCGGAAGAGTGGGGAAAATCGACAGAATATCCATAAGTGTTTTCACTCAAAGGTTAAGGTTGAGTTTTATCCAGTTTCCCGTGCTTGATGTATTGACATTTAAATATTGCACATTTTTGTACTTTGCAGAATAATGGGATATATCAGTTTAGCATGGTTTACTTACCAGGAGAATGCAAATGGAAAATGTTTTTGGCAGAATCGAAGCTAGCCATTTATTTGTATATAAGTGAAGGGAATATATTTTCAAATGTCCTGACAATATTTTTTTCTGCATTGAATCTCCAGGTCGGCCGAGAAAATGCTGCGGATTGGAAAGAGGATGGCGGTGGTGTCTTCTGATCTTCCATGAAAATGTCTCGAGTGTTCTGTAATGCCAATGATATTTCATAGCGTTTTTGTATATTGATGTATTCTATGATATCCCCTGTTTCGCAGTGTCCATAACAGTTCGCTGCTCATTAAGCATGTGCATTTAAAGACTTCCTTCTCAAGCTCCTGGTTTTGCCCATGCATTTTTTAGCTTCCCAGGAAGTATCGTTTCAGATTCAATAATAAAGGATTTTGATGTGTTACTCACGTTTTGTCATTCCATATAGCTCAGCACAGGTAGGTTTTGAGCATATTGGCCCTATTCTTGACAGTGAAGAAGAAATATGGAAGTTTATCTGACATGCGCAAAATGGGCACGCCTCGTCACAGGATGGGAAGCCAGCCAAAAGGCCTATTTCCCATCCTGTATAGTAAGCATTGCGCATGGTTTCTACCCACAGGATGGGAAAACGGCCAAATGGCTAAAATTCCATCATGAGCATGCGCACAGTGCTCTACCTTCCAGGATGGTATTCCAGCCATTTGGCCATATTCCCATCTAGTGTCATGCGACGCACATGAGATAGGGGTCAGGCCTGGTAGACCCTTACAATTTCCATATAAGTTCAATCATTACGAGAGATTGAACAAAAATATATGCAATGATAGGCTGAAAGAATAAAAGGAACGCGAATTGTGGCTTCCGTGTCACGTTTGCAGAGATCTTGACAGGAATTGGCAGCTAGATGGTTTTTGGGACAGGTTATACTGACGCCCGCTGTCACTGACACCACACATGAGTACACGTCAGACAAATATGTTGCACTTTAGGGCCAAATTCCTTGATTGAATCCGCAAAATTTAATTGAATCTTGTTAACCGAGGAGATTTTGCCTCATCGTGGATTGCAGGGCTTTCTCGGGTGTGTTTCCCGAGATGTCTCACCACCGATACCTTTTACGGGGACGCATCTCCTCGACGCAACGAAAGAACGAAGCTCAGTTTGGAAGCACTTGTATTATCATTTATATAATTTATCATTTTTTATTTTCTCCTCTAGCAGTGGAGATCTGGAAGTCTGAGCGAAGGGCTAATTTCTAGAGGCAGGTGCAGGTCTTCCTGTATCTGCCGCCACATCTTCCGCTTGTTTTTCCCGGCATGCTCTGGCAATGCTTCTGGCATGCAGATGCATTCGGACAGCCGAAGCCAGCCTCGACCGTTGCGGCTGAAGGAGAGAAAAACGAGAAGCAATTAGGTTTGTCAAAAAACGGGTAAGACCTTCTTACGTTGACCTCAAATTCGGCATTTCGGTAAATTGCATTATTGAGGCCAGAACGAAGTGAAAAAAGTCAGACGTAAATGTTCTTGGAACGCGATCGATGAACGTGATGAGGAGACAGTCGGAAAAGGTTTTTTTTAAAGAATTAATAGTAATGAGAATCTGACTCACCAAAGGCCAAAAATATGGCGGCAACGAATATCAGCAACAGTCTCAGTCTCATGTTGTACTTAGAAACTGAGGACAGAGAAAAATGAAACAATATCTGATGATACTTATCAGAGAAACCTTTTAAAGCGCAATAGGAGATCCTGATCCCGTATTTTGCCAAATTAAACTGCTTCAGCTATTGACGCCTTTAGGCACTTGTTCCGTCCATTCATCTAAATTAATATTATTGAGCAAATTCTAGTAAATCGAAATTTGTTTTTAAGGACCACATTTTTTACTCACAGTTACGAAGACGTCAAAATCGTATGAACGAATCGAGTAGGTCTCACATCAGCCACAGGAACGACTAATGTCGGTGAATAATCTACTTTACAGGATGCGGCATTTTACGCTTTTAGGCGTAAATTGAAGCTCCATAATGCAGATCCACCTGCAGCTCCTTTCAAGCAATTCAGTTGAGAAGTAATCCCACTCGATTTCCCACCGCAGAGGAAAGCGTCCCACGACATCATATACCTATCACATTCTTAGGTAGTTGTTCTGGGCCATTGCTTTCCATCGATCCACGCCATCCCGATATCTCATCTCGGAATGACGTTGGTTTCATGGATCCAAGATTAATCAGGATTGAGTAGATGGCAAAGTTCATGAACACTTCGCGACGATGAGAAACGGCTTCGAAAAGGGCAAAGAGAAGAATACAGATAGACATTTAACCCCTCAACTTTGTAGGGCGTAATATTTTCCTTCAATCTGAACTGAAGAATAGGAACGGGCGGTGGAAATAGCAGGGTTAAGGAGCAAAGGAGAGAAGAAAGGCAGAGGGAACTCACTCTGGACGGCGCCGAGGAGGAAGTGAACCGTCCGGCGGCTTCCCTTGGGGTCGTTCACTTGGGGTGCTTTGCAAGGTCGTGGGGTCCATGGGGCCAGGTGCGATGGGCGGGCAGGAGGTCTGGTCGGGTTTCGTCGTGATTGCTTTGCTGATGTCGGGGGCTGTGCAGATGCGAGTTCGAGATTCCAACTTTGTCGAAACTTCCCTTTCGTGTCTCTGCACAGGGGGAGCATTGCCCTGAACCTCAATTCAACGGGCGTTTAGAATATTTTCTTGGCGTTGTCTCGTCCTGTGATCTTCATACTTGAACTTATCTTCCTACACGTCTCAAGAAGTAATAGTTCCACTTTTCCTTCGGTAATTAACCACTGCAGCATGCCTGGAATGGTCGATTTGTGACCACATTCACCAATTCAAAATCGGAGTGCATGGAAAACTTCCTTAGTGGATACACATGATGCGCTCCCGATCCTCTAATCGATTTCATAACACATTGCTTCAGATTGGGGCTTCTGATGATGGCGCCGGGCAGAGCGAGCCACACTGTCTGACTGGAATGAGATTCTCTTCATTTTTTGAGTGATCTGGCGACGGCGACACTCCAACTGCCAGGACTAGGGGCGGTGTGGGGCCTGAAATTGACGAGCTGGGTGAGATCTGGGTTGATCGAACGGGTCGGTGCCAACAAGGAATTTACCATTTTGGCTTTTGTTACGAGTATCCGGGCCGCATAGACGCACGCTTCTGAAGTGAAGTGAAGCGACATCTTCAGAATATATCCACGTACGATATTTTCACTGTGACTGGATAGAGGAAGATTCACGAGCGAAGCAAAAGCACCTCTCGGACTCGAAAGTGAAAACTGCACAATCAAATGGCAGAATACCTGTTATTTATGGCGGACCGACCCTCATTGGGAGGCGGAGCTACGACATCAGGAATTCCCGAAATTCAGATCGCAACGATTTTGCAGATCTCCCCCGAACAAACCTCAGAGCATTCGAGTTCGGGATTCACGTCGGCCGCATCCGAGTGCGAAGGCGTCGAAGCGTGATGAAAACGATGAAGAAAAATCGATCGGAATAGAAAGAACTGCCCTGTCGGAAACTTTCAATGGTTTTTCGTCGGTCCCGGGGAGGTCGAGTCATCCGCGGCGAATGTTCCAGATCAGCGGTTTCCCACGTCGATTTGAGAAAGAGGATGGAATTCGTCGGCACGTTTTATCCGGAGCTGCAGGATAAATCCTGGGGGATAAATCTGGGAATTCGGTCAGGAGGTCGGTGGCATTAATTTTGGGAAGGAAATCTCTAAGTATTTTTTCTTGCATATTATTTTTGGTAGAAATGCTTCTGTTGCTCATTTACTACAAACAGCATTTGCAGCTTTCTAATCCATGCTGCATAGACGCTGGGGAGCTCAGTCGGGAGAATCGAAGCGCTAATCAAAGTGTACGAGAACTTTTGCACGACCCTGTATTTGGTTCGTCGGCTGACACCGCGGCATTATTTTCTCCCATGGCGGCGTGGAGAAATTCATCCGAGAGAGGCTAACGACGATCGCAGCAAACCGTTGAGTCTCTCTCATAGGTAATGTGACATTTCTCTAAACGGATGATGATGGAAAATAACTTATGTCTTTCAAGTGATATTAAGCTCGGTTTTCCTCGTAATCCCCAGGCTATCGCAATTAGGCAATTAATCTGCCCCGCCACCAGCGTTGCCTATCGTGGCCTTCGGAGTCTCGATCTCACCGCATGCGATGATTTACAGTGGGGATACATATATAATGGAGCTCGTGGGGAAAGAGCGTTATGGGGCAACGGCCGAGCTGAAAACGTGCAGCATCTGCCACGAACACTGCGGTCCAACTCAGACGAGCGTCTCACAGGTTCTGGCGCCAGGCAAAAACTATATCGAGAGTATGGCGCACATATATAACCCCGAGACATGTAAACCTTGGGGTTTCCAAACGTGCGGCCCACCCTGTATATTCGACGCCGACATAAAGAAGGAAATCCTTCGATAGCATTGGCTGAAGGAATTGTACTTATTTTATAGTCACAGCTATACCATGTGTGTATTTTAATTGCTACCATACTATGTTATGTCAATAGGGTAATTCATGAAGTAAATGAAGAGTGAAGAGTGAACCTCTCAAGGGGGAGTATCGATTACTAAATGGGGGGATTGAAAGGTAAATTCGAACGGACCTTTAAAAAATGTCCACACTTAATCAAAAACGCAACCAAAAAGGAGGAGAGAGACTGTCGACCTCATGAAAAAAGTTAAGAAGAGTTTCACTTTTTCGAAGGAATTTTAATTCACGCTCGATTCATCGTTAAATTTTAAAGTCTCAATGGAGAAGGGAACTCAATCGAGCTTTCTTCTTCTGCTCCTCCTTTTCCTATGCAATCTACATTTCATTTTATCTAACGTGCCAAGTCCATGATTCTAGTGATCCATCGGTCGCATTAACCCGGCACATGTTTTCTATTTCCCTGTTGAGAAGTGAAATTACTCCATCTATCTGAAGGACCACACCAACGACTTGAGAGGATTTCTGCGATTGAGCCTGAGCGGATGAACTGGTCATGATCGCATGAGTCCATATATATTTTTTGTCTTCAAATTCTAGACTTCTAGGAAAAAAAACGCCTTTTCTGAATGATGCCGTTCGAGTGCTCAGCGTTCTCTTCGCATGAACGATACGGTCTATGCTTACGGGTACTTGCAGGAGCTTATTTAAATAAATAAAATCATTTTTCACTCCCCGGTGCTCAAACTTTTCCTGCATTTTGTTCTCATGTTTTTACCCTTGGAGATAAACGTTAATTCGCATTCTGAGATAACAGCCCTGAGACTGCAGAATTGTTGGCACGAGTTTCCCCGGGGACGAGATGTGGTTTCGATTCCATTCGATTCCATGGTTCCCATGTCAACATGCACGAAATGTGACATATTCCTGCTGATGTCGGTGTCCAAAGGCTGGTATGCCGTGGAAACTCGTCAATATGCAACGCCCGATGTCCCCTGACCAGCCGGTCGAATTAATGAAAGACCAAATCTCCGGTGAGAATTCCATACTTTACTCTCAGTCCTCAAATCCGAGATAGAAAGTCCTCATTTCTTTCTCGTGGTGCAAACACATTCGGTCCCATAACAGGTGCCCAAGCCCACGCACGCTCTTCGGCATCTGCTAGGAGAGTTCGGGCATCCGTAGTTTGCTTCAACGGCTGTCGTTGCTATGAAAGTCAAGAGGCGAAGAATAACAAAATTGCATCAGATTACTATGAAAATGAAGATAATCCCATGTTTCTAATAATTAAAGTTATCTGAATTGAGTTACACGGGAAATTAGACGAAGAACCGTTCTTCCTATATTTCCTTGATTCCCGAAAATATTCTTCGGAACCGAAATGAAATATTTTGTTTCCGTGGAATGGGTAATTACTTATAGCCAAGTGCAACAATGGGAAAGAACAGGATTTGAAAGCTCATGCAGCGCTTATAAGAGCTTTTAAATGAAAGCAACGATGGGACGCGGAAGACGAAAAAATTAAAGATTATGAAACAGAATGCTCATGATCATCTGAATGCTTGAAAGGAGAGCGCCTGAAGAAAAACTTTGGCTTCAAGTCTTAAATTGAATAGCTACATATGGGTTGGGGCTGCCGTATATACTTTTGATTTCTGTCACACCCTTTCATTTATGATTTTCCATTCATGGTTTCCATTTTTCAGAGGGAAAACACTTTACAGGTAAAAAAATTGTGAGAACGACTTACCGAAGGCGAAAACCATGGCAAAAGCGAAGACAAAGAGCCACGTCAGTTTCATGCTGTTTTTTTTCCACCTTTGGACAAAAACAAGCAATACCAATTCACGAGACGTCAAACTTCGCCGCTAGAGCAGAGTATAATTTAGCACAGAACCTCAGAACTACATTAATTCCATACTAAGGACAAGACCGGGGCAAAAAAATATTGACATCAGTAACGCGCCTGATCACTATTTGCGTAAGCGACTGTACTTGCAATTTCAATTGAGTCCCAGTTTTATTCCGGCGACCAATTGAGTTTAGAAAGGAAACTTCGTTGCAATCTGATGCCGTGTGGAAATTATTTTGATGAAGAAATTTGAAGGAAAAAAATCTGCGATCTGTCGTCGGAATATTTATTGGGAGAGAAGCAAAGGAGAACTCACTTTATCCTGTGTTAGAGGAGCGACGAGGAGGGAGAGGAAGTTCCTGATCGGGAATTCCCCTTTGGAACTGTTTGGAAGAGCGTGGAAGGCAAGGGTTTATAATGCCCGGTGTGTCCTTGAACGGGCGAACGTGATCCTCGGTGCGATATTTAATGGGAGATCCCGTACATGGCATCATCATGTTCGCATGACAGACGCAAAAGTGACAGGTGCCATGTGCATGTAGAGAGCTCATTTTCAGAAGCGCAAGCTGTTTTAGATTTTTCAGCTCAAATGGGAAAGAACGATACCAACCGACTGAAACAGCAATGCGGCTGAAAATTTGGAATATCTGCCTTCTTATTTCATGAACTTGGACACGAATATGTCGACGTCCGCAACATCGTGCATCTTCGAGAGGCACCGACAAAACCTAAGGAAGTCCTAATGAAATCCCTTACAGAATGGTTTCACATCTTTTGGGTGCATGTCATAGGTTCCCGTGATGGTCCTGTGACACGACTCAATAGATCGGTCCCCGTGATGGTCCTGTGACCAGTTTCAATGGACCTTCTCGGGGCTTACTAGGAAGTTCGGTGGATGTTGTCTGCATGCGGCCTTGAGCTGTTTCGGCGACATTTTCCAAGCACGACTTGCTTGGACATTCTTCATGGACTAATTTGTTGTCTTAATATGTAGGCTTAATATTCCAAACTTAAGCTTCTCGATTACGATGAGTGCTATGGCAAATTTGGAGAACTGCAGAAATTCGGAGATAAAAATGCGGTCCACATGATGGACCTAAACCGCGATCGCGAGGGCTTTCTCTCGTGCTCCGTTCGTGAACCCGGAGGCGTTGAACCCAGCGGTATGAATGTGTGCTTGACATGCATCGCAACGCACACGCGCCGCTTCTGGTCGTTGGTAGCTGCAAATGGCGTCCTCACTCGTGACTCATGCATTAAGATTTAGTCGTCGCCTTTGGACCTGGGGGGGGGGGGGGGCGAATGGGTAGACCTATCTCAGAAATGTGAATATCATAAGAGAGCCCCGTGGGATTTTTGAAACGCAGTTAAAAATAGATTTTGCCTCTGACATTTACCCGTGTGCAGGCGCCGTTATGAGAAACGCTACATTAATGGTGCCAAGTGCGAGGTCTCCCTGGATATGGCAGATGTATGTCCGAGGACACTTGCACCTCACGAGACCACGCATTTCGCGAACGCTGCAATAACTGCGAATGGGGAAATTTGGATCCGGTCGCTTTATCTGCGATCGGCGAGGGAGGTTCTCGATGCCGCCCTTCTCTCTCCAAACGTCTCCGACCTTACGAAAAAGTCGTATAGGGAACCTATGGACTTTTCCTATAGGTTTTCAAACATAAAAAAATACTTATAGGATTCCTGACCTACAGGATTCGGTGAGATTTTTTTTTGGGTTTCGAAACCCTAGCATTACCACTGGGATAACTACTAAATGGATAACCACCGGGGTCAATATTGACGCTGCTTTTTGCCATATCTTCACAACTAGTACTGCCTGCCCATAATCATATTTATGAATATCTGATTGACGTGTATGATGG